AAAAAAAAAAAAAAAAAAAAAAAAAGGAACTAGAAAGGGCTTGATTGTAAAATCTACATGATGAGCACTACGGTGAAAGCGCTACTTTTCTTCATATAAATAAACTAGACGTGGAAAAAAAATAACGATCCAGAGTAAGATTGGGGTTTTACCACCATTCCCGCGGCAAGATGGATGACTGGAACAAAATACTGGTCCACTTTCTTCTTCTCTGAATATCCATTGAATGCAATGACCATAGAGAAAGTATGGATAGTGACAAATGCAAGAGCAATGATAGCTGCAGGGTTATCAGCAAAATACTGCTAGATAAGTCGCCTTTAGTGAAAAACGTTAAGTGAAAAAAAGTAGAATAATAGTGATCCATTTGCAACTCTTAAAATGTTCAAGAAATTAACGATCAGAAACATGCCATGAGAACAAATGAACTCTCAGAATAGCTGGAATCGAATGCAAGGCTTTTTGAAAAGTAGAAAATGACAATAATGACCTAATTTTTTGGACAATATATAGCTCACAGAGGTATACAAAGTATTTACACAAATAATATGAGTAAGAACTCACCAGAGACGAGAAAAAATGGTAGCTGGGAGCACCGATCAACAAAGTAAGTGGCTGGACCAAATGATGGTGTTAGAAGGCTAAGACAGAAAAACACGGCATGAGCTACACCATGACCTAAACCCCCAGCTGCAAGCAATTAAGAATGCACGTTAGAGCTCATGTAAGATTAGAAAATGAAGACGGTTGGGAACCTTGGTAAAATGCTAAGATCACTGGGCCCTCAGTTCACAAACTATTGTCTTTTCGAGGTAGGGGAGAGCAATTATAAATGTCATTCAACTTTAGGACATTTGACTGTGCAGTTAGTCTGATTACCTCCAATACAGAGACAACTCTTGTCTGCCTCACTCAATAAGACGCTCGAGTAAGGCTGCAACTTTTAGGAAGGTCTTTTTTTCAATGTGCTCGGTGTTCTAAATCTAAGTTTCCACAATTAGAATTCTTGTCAGAATTTAAGATTCCATATTTTTTAAAATCAGGCAGTAACTTTACAGTCAGGAGAAGTAATACTATTGTCATCACCCAAAGAAATGTTTCTATTGATCTTCATCCCCCTGTAGCATTCTGAGTAAAGAGGCTCTCCCGACACAACTGTATACTGGTGCATTGTTCTTCTGCAGGGTGCATATTAGCCCAAATGTTTTCAGATAGGGTTTGTCTTTGCATGTAACTTGGTCTGTGGGGATGGCTTGAGTTATTAGTTACATTTTAGAGGTTGGCTGTTCAGAAAGATCTGGTGGAGTAGGCCGTTCGGTTATTGCATGGAGTATTTGGTTGGAGCAAATCACAAGGATGTTTGAAGATGTTTCTTGCAAATAAGTGACTTGGAGCATCGCACACCTTAACAATTTCAAGGAGAGGAGATGACCAATGATATCAAGGAGAAACCTAAGTGATTTGGGTTGAATTTATTTCTCTATTAAGTTCCGTCTTCAGCTTCCTTTAAAAAGAGAATTGGGAATGGAGATTACATTGGTTCTTTCTCTTGCATATTTTCTTGTATTTTGAAGCAGGACTTACCATTCTACCTCATGATTTTCTCATTTTGCATGGTTTTAATTTATATATAGGAAGAACGTACTACCAAAGTTTTAAAATCTTGCTATATAGAAACCAACTGTAATGAAACAAAAGGTTATAAGTTAAATCATGGGTGATCAAAGTTTACCTAGAGCAATCTGCATCTTATCTGTCAAATATAGTCGCGGCTTTGAAACTCTGTCAGCAAAAGCATCTAACATGTCTTCTAATTTCCTATAAAATTCAATAGCAGAAACATCGTAGGTAAATCATTGTTTATAGCTAAACAATCATAAACTCTATAGGAAACTGTTACTTTAGTTTAGAATCTAATTGATAGTACACGTATATTATAAAAGAAAAAAAATAAATCAATGACAATTTTCAAGTAGCAGACACGAAGGGTACAAAAAATAGCCAAAAGTGAGCAGGCTGTAATATTTCAGAAAGATATTAGTACTTGTAAGAGGACTCCAATTAGTAACCTACAGACATGGAAGGAAAAAAAAAATGATCCTGGATTATGGATTGCTACTCCCCCAATAAGATAAAACCTAATAGTAAGGCCAAATAGATCTACCAATTCTAGGAGAGTTGGGCAGTTCTAATTTAAAATCTAGAATGAATAAGAAAATGATTGTGTTTTGATTTCTTTGTAGACACTAGTAAACGTAAATATGGAGATTAAAAAATATGTGCACATATATGCATTAACTAATTCATTTTTTTTTTTTTTTATCTCCCAAAGAAAAGAAAAAAACTACATAAAAAAGGGCCAATATAAGAATAACTCAGCAGACTCTCTAAGGGGTCCATACTCCTCTCACATATGATATAATATTCTAAATATAAAAGGTAATAATAAAAAGGACTCTAACCGTAAGCATTAACAATAGAACGAAAAAGTAAAAGATGTACAATAATGGCTGCTCAACCTAAACACTGAACTGATGGAGAAATTTAATCATTGAATCCAACACTTACCTATCGAAGTCCAAAAGAACCCTTTTTCCAATTTTGGCCTAATTTTCCACTAAAAAGTATCAATATATCACATATTAATCATCAAATAAACCTAAAGATAACTCCTTCATAGCTTAGTGAAAAAACCTTGAACTCTGTCTTGATATATACTAGTATGTTTAATATGTTTGTTCAATGGTAAGAAGGCTTGAATGTTCGGTGATCAGTTGGCTATTGGTTAAGTTTTAAGCAGCAGCTCATGCATAAAAAGCCCAAACATAGTTCTCTATAATAATAAACATTTTAGCAATTTCTTCACTGCTTCGTAGACTCTTCCTCTTGATGCATTGACACAAATCATTTAAATTTGAGTCTTCCTCAATAAACCCAATCTAACCTATATGTTTTCAATTCCCATAGTCTACTTGCTATTATAACAGATTTTAAACAGTGTTCATACTAAGAAGGAGAGGCATCACACCTCGGCACTCAAATAGGTGCAGGCCATCGAACTTTTTCAAGGTATGTTGCATCACACCTATATTTTAAAAGAACCTTCACTTTTAAATTTTTTTTTTCTAACCTAATTACTCATAATACTACAATTTTCAATGTCTACAACTATTGTTATTACTACTATTATCTTCTTACAGTGTGACTTCTCTTTCTTCTTTAAGCTTCAACTCCAGATGACTATTGCAAGTACTTAGAGATGATTTTGAATTGTGGGATTCAGCCCTTCAATTCTTAATTCCTAGACTCTCCAATTGATATTGAGATGTTAACGTTAACTCACCTGTAGACTTTCCAGAAAAGAACCCGTAGAGCTTCTTGAAATATGACTGACGTCAATATAAGAATTGCATAAGGCCATAATATGGTTGAGTTCAGTGGAAGAAAGCCCCTCCATAACGCAGACAGCAGTATCAAACTAATGAGCCATAACAGGGTGCTGCACACACGAACAATAATAATCATGAAATATCATCCGATTAAACAAAATGGCGGCCAACAAAAAGTTCATTTTCCAATCAAACTACTCGTGCTCCCCCCTCAGATACCGCTTAGCAACTTCAAAAGAGAATCTAGAGGTTAAATTAAGAATGTAATAGCTAAATTTTGATATTTGTGCCTATATAATTCAAACTTTAACAAGTTTCAATTTCATTCTAAACTTCGAATTGTAATTCTACTTATTCACTGCTATTAACAACACGGTTGACTAGACGAGGGCATAAACAGTGTATTGGACATAAATTAGTCGATTCAACACAAAGTTGGGAACAAATTATAGAAATAAACCGGAAATTCGACAAAATAAGGTGACAATTGCTACATCTCTTTTCCAAACCAACTCATCACATCTTTTAATAGACTGTGTCGCATAGAACTAAAATTAAAAGTTTTTAAAATCCAGAAGTCGAGTGGTTAAATTGGCAACCTATCCAACCTAAAAAGCTCGAACAAAATACGTGAAGCTTACTAGCGAAAGAAAATCTATAAACAATAACAAAAAAATTAAAATACAATCTGCAACAGCCTTCATTTCCTCTTCCGATTACACAACTCACACAGCTTACTTGCGATCCTAATTGATAGCTAAGAAAGCGAAGGGGAAAATGAACTAGAAAAGGCGCGATCAGAATAGAACAAAAGAAAATGATCAAGCAAAACAATAGCATGAAAACCGAGAGAAGGCCATTATTGAAGATTATTGAGGCGGAATGAAAGCAGAAATCAAATTGGAAACGGAGAAGTACCTGGAGAGGAGAGTGAGAATCAAGAAGGGCTTGTGGGCAATGACGGAGATGAAAAGGGAGAGAGAAGGGCCCAACGCTATCAAGGTGTAGCCGATCCCTGCTGCTACAGTCATCGCCTTCTTCCTTCGCACCCAGCTCTGTGACCTTTTGTTGGAGACCGATATTCGGATAGTTGAAGGGTGAAGAAGCTTCAGTGGCACCGTGATAATCCAATCAAAATTAATGAATTTTGTACACTTTCCATATATACATACGATTCAACTTTATATTATAACTATTTTTATGTATACACGCATTCTATATTCAAAATATGGTATAGTCATAGACCAAAAATGTTGATTCCTGTAATATTGATGAAACATTATGTGTAATAAATATAATTAAAATGGGAAAATATATATTTTTTTTTTTAAACCACGGCACACGGACCCTTATATTTTAAAAAATATTTTATGTGCGTACTTACATGCATTCGTTCGTGTTGAAAATTTATTTATCTAAACCTCGCAGTTAAATGGACATTTGTAGTTGGCATATAAGAGGACTATGTTCAAGTAAGAACCTAAACAATTTATAGTATATAGATAAGGTTTGTTGTCTCGTCCGAGTAACATTATTGATACGACCCATTTCATAATTGCTATAAATGGTTTGATCAAGATCGTACATATAGAAATATGTGAATGAAGGTATTCTATAAGATAAGTTTGTGTAATATTGATGATATGTGACTTGATGTGGATCCTAAGTGATTTAGAAATGATCTTTTAATTTGCATGGGTGAGAATGACTTTTATAACTGATTTAATATACATACCATTTTGGAGACTTTAACAAATAGGGGTTAGGAACATAGTTTTCACGATATGGAATTCACTCGTTCAAAAATATAGATAAGTAATTTCCTTAAGTTTTGATTTCAAGACATGAACAATGGGACTCGCCTTCTCATTGACCTTAAAAGGACGTAGTTCATGGTCGGATTATAAACAAATGGTTCATTAGAAACTTAGTGATACTTGAAGTGATAGATATAATTATATGGATAAAAGGAGCTTTTGATCTAGTCATAATTACGAACAATTGAGAACTTGCTTACAATGATTATATCAATGAACAGGATTTCCAACAATGGATAAGAGTGTAACTCCAAGTCTATAATGAATAAAACTTAATTAATTTTGTATAATTCAAGGTTACTTGGGTTCATAAGACCCTGTTACTAGCTCACACTAACAATAAAATTGTAACGCCCCTAATTTTCTTTAACCTAGCTAGTGACGTCACCTCACGTTCAAAGGACAAAAAATACGAAAGTCCATATCAAGCAACTTTAATGATCGATGACACGGTCGTTATTACTAGTAGTCCGTAACACTAAGGATCAACCTAACACGAAAATCAATCAACAACTAGTTAGGAGAAACGAATGCAACAATTATTTTTCGAAGAATCTCAAACAGAACACCTACTGCCCTATAATCCCTCCCTAAGACTTCCATGGTCTTCGCAGCATCCGTCGTCAACCATACATGGGAACCTTGCCATTACTTGAAAATACAGGTAGCACGTGGCTTGAGTATTTTATAAAATATCCAGTAAGTTGCCCCACTGTTGGGGTTAGGCAGACAATACATATTCAGAACACATGTAGGTCACATACAACACACATGCATAAGCACAAGCACAAAAGAAAGAAAACATGAGGGGGATCTGTCTTCCATTCCTTTACATGGCCTTAGACCCTTGCTTTATTCGGGCAGGGTGGATGCATGGTACTTCCCCACACATGGCCCACTATGTAATCATGGGCCCACCAGGCGAGTTCGCATGCGAACCCCCTGGGCCTGGCTTGGTCAGGTACGTATGACATACGTTATCGGACGCCACGAAAAAAAGAGGGCCTGCATGATATCATAGTAAGCATAATATCGAACGTACGCGTCATACCATCACTAACATAACGGGGAAGTAACCCCGTGTACATAACACATAGCGTGCATGAGGTTCCTAAGGTTTACCTCCATTATACATACAATATTTCATCCCCTCGCCGCATTACATAGCATGACTTGGATAAACATCACGTAAGCATATCATAGCACACCAGTCATCACATTCATGACATGCGAAGTTCTCATTACAATCATGACATGTCAAACCTCATGCATACAGGGTAACAAATCATGGCACAAACATTATATACATAAACATGGCATACATCGGCGTTTCACAACAAGAAAACATATAACATAGCATACATCAACAACACACATGGTGCATGCAAGAGCCACAGGGCACGCACCATCATACATAAATAACTAACGCCAATAGTAAGGTTACATACCTTTTTGGCCCTGACCGAAGTTACTCGCGATAAGCTAACTTCCACGTCTAACTACCTCCTATAACACCACAATATACACTTAGCGCCCTTTCATGATGTAACCCAACCAAACCTTATGTCTCACTATCAAGGTAAGTTCCTATCATGATTTGTGTTTAATAATTAATAGTTACACTAACATCAGATGCCTAAAATAAAGGCAGAAACAGCTCCAAAAGGGTCGAAAACCTAGGAATCGGTCTATCATTTGTATAGCGAGCCATTAAGCTGAGCCGTCGAGCCACACTATCGAGCTGAGCCAAACCACGGAATACAACGGGGCTGAGCCGACAAGCTGAGAAGGTCCTTGGTGGCACACAACTCCTAGACGCAGGCTGGTATCGCTGGTCGTGGGCTGAAATGGATACGCGGCCTAAGTCAGTGTCTGACACGGACTGCAAGGCACGAGCCGCAACGGTGGGCCGCACGTTGGCTGAGCGAGCTCGCGGGTACTCGAAGAACCCGACCCGCAACCCGCTGCTTTGTCTTCCTCACCCGAGAATCCCGATGAACCCAAATCGCAGAATTCAACTGTCGTTGCCAATGAGACCAACGCCTTCCATTCATCCTTGACGGTGTGTCTGTCCTGCTTATTACGAAGTACCTTGGCGTCGGTTTGCTCCTACCTAAGGACTCACAGAAGTCTGAAGTCTCGCGACATTTTCAATTCCTCACCTAAACCTTTCAGCTCCTCCCTCACAGGTACGACAGTGACTCAAAAGGAAAGGACGGCTACTAAGATACCTAGGGTTTAATATGGGGACTCAAGGAATTAATACGCTCTTGTTGGCACGGCATGCCTCACCGGAAATCTTGAGATTTTCGGCGAGATTTAAAGCGTTTTTTTCCCCTCCTTTTTGAAACCCTTATCGTTACAAAAATGATCAATTTAATTGAAAGAAAAGGATGAAAAATAATTCTCTCATGGTAGCCCTTTTGTAAGTAGACTTGGTCTTCTAATGAAATGGTAGTGTACCTCCACATGCTTTGTTCTAACATGAAACACCAGATTTTCTGCTACGCAAATTGCATATTGGTTATTACAATGAAGTGGTATTGATAGTTAATTTTTTGGTGCCAATTTTTCATCAAGAGTTTCAGCTATTACTTTCTTGAGCGCTCTAACCGCTACTCTGTACTCTGCTTTTCTAGTTGACAATGATACAGTTGGTTGTCTTTGATAGTGTTAATATAACGCATGCGGAAGCAATTTGGATCTTAGGCACTTTTAGAACATCAATTATAGTAAATAACTAGCATGTTCATAAGTATTAAAACTCAAAGGGATTGAGTACTAACCTTTTGTAGTTCAAATTCTTTTATTTTTTCACGAGCCAGTTTCGAACCACCACTAGTGTCTTCTCCACTATTCTCCGCCCTTAGAAAAGGATTGTGGAATCCGGTGAGTGACTAAACTTGGGAGGTATTTAGTATATATGAAGAGAGAGTTTGTGAGAGGTTTTTCTAAATTTTTTACAAGGAAGAACATCCATGTACCTTGATCACTCTCTATTTAAAGAGTCATGTTTGCATGTTAATGCAAATTTGAGATCACCAAATTTTGACACTCAAAATTTCACTAATATTTGTGGGGTTTATTTGGCGCATGCAAGTTTGGTTAAACCAAATTTTGACACCTCAAAATTTCACTGACTCAAATATGGATTTTTCCATTAAATGAAGTCAACATTGTGACTTTTTTTCATTTTGATTCAACAATTAATTTGAATAATTAATTTCAAATTAAAGTAATATTAAATAATTAATTAAACTATTTAATATTAATTCAAATGTCAATCTCAATCAATTCCAACACATATTTGATTAAGATATTTAAATAGATTTAAATATCTCAGATTCTCTCTTTTTGTTTAATTCGTAAATAAAATAAAAATGTGGTTAAATATATCGTATATATGTAGTGCATATTTCCTAATTTGAATTTGAACACTTCGAACTCACTCATCATATTGTTCTATGGTTTAGTCCGATATGAGCTAGCAAAGGGACCTAATGAGCCTATAGATCATGAGCTCCAACGATCCAAGATTAACCGATTTGTGGTTCTTATGTCCCACTAATTCTCTAATGAACAATTGGTTTGTGGTCCAATCAATAAACCGAATCCCTCTTAGGCCAATGAGAGGGTGGGGCCCCTTGTTCAAGATCTGGAGTCAGTACTTAATGGAACTACCTCTCTTCTATCCCTAAAAGTGGGTAGGAGTGAATTCCATCTTGCACCCCACGTCCCCAGTCATTCACCCAGTCTTACCCCTGAAATTGGAGGCCTATTGAGTCGGCGAACTCGAGCCACTCTCACCCATGCAAATCTAAGGATAATTCCGAATAAACAGGAGTTCACGGTCAACTCAGGATTAAAATCGAGTTACCTAGGTCATCGAATGAAAAGAAAATCAGTCTCAATAGTAAATGACATTATAAAGTGAGAGTGATTTTCTTCATGGTCCGATCTTATGCAATACTCATTGCATAGGACGCCCTCACTCACATGTCTCCGCATGTACAATTTAGTGATCACATTGTTTATGTCATATACAAAAGTAGGCCGCATCCATAGTGTTCCCATGATAAGGTACTCAGCCTTATCCCTGTAGTATAAATCATTTTGACTATATACTTAAACTTGATCTACTCTTATGTCTCTACATATAGTTCAAGTAATCATACTATAGCTAGAGTGTTCTTAGTTTATTGGATTTAGATTAATAATCGTAAAATTCACTTTATTCAATAGAATTTTTACTGAATAAACAACAATAATAACTTTATTGAAAATATAATATGTTTTTGTTTATCAACTATGAGTTTTA